CCCTGGGCACTGCTGTCTAGTAGCGCAGTTGAAAATCAAGCCCAGAGAAGGCAGCAGTTCCCAGACAAGCTAATCCAGAATATATCAGCAGGTAGCTCCCATCTGTGCTAGCTCTGGGGCTGGAAAGAATAGTAGAGACAAGACAGGAACTCTGGGCAAGTGAGAGCACTGCCAGATCAAGTCAGCAGTGAAGACAGTAGTGGTCTGAGGCTATTGCCGTCAGACCCAGCTTGGACTTGAAGCCAGGACAGACTAGAAGCTAGTCACTCACGTTCAGAGACATGTCAGCACCTTGGGCGGGAAGTGTGATATAATTGGCATCTAGCCACATGAGGAAGCCAAATCCTTTGAAATCCTGGATTATTTGTGTCTCTGCACAGTCCCTGGCTACCAGTGAGGAGGTACAGACAAGCGTACTGTAGCCACGGAACAGGCCAAAGGGATAAAGGGGTAGACCTCTAGGGCCTCATGCACAAAGCCCTCCAGTCCCATGTGTCTCCTAGGATCTACAAGTACCAGGCTCATGGCTATGCCTTCTCGGGTGTAGAAGAACTGCTCTACTCCCTGGGGGAGGCCACCTTTGTCAACATGACCCAGCGTTCGGTGGCCGAGTCCCTGCTCCAGGTGGGAGTCACGCAGCGCTTTATTGACGATGTTGTCTCTGCTGTCCTCCGGGCCAGCTATGGCCAGTCGGCATCAATGCCTGCCTTTGCTGGTAAGTGCACAGCCCTCAGCCTGCCTGTCTACCTTGCCCACATACTCAGAACAAGCTGGGTCCTATGAAAACCATTTTTCTGGCTTATTGCCATTACCCCATCATTTTTTTTTTTTTAACTTTTAAAATCACACTATATTTAAGCGGGTTGCCCTGGTTCGTGGTTGGGAGGAGCCTTGTCTTGGCGGGAAAGCCCAAGATCTCTCCTTCCTCCCTCCCATTCCCAGGAGCCATGTCACTAGCTGGGGCTCAGGGCAACCTGTGGTCCGTGGAAGGGGGCAACAAGCAGGTTTGTTCCGGTTTGCTGAAGCTCGCCAAGGCCAGTGTGATCCAAGCCACAGTGACCTCTGTGACCCTGCACACTACAGGTGAGTGAAGCACACAGGAGTTATGCCCCTGCCATTCCTAGCCAGCCCTCCTCCTCTTCTGTACCTCAAGCAGAGTGTTCCTGCTGAGGAGTATTTTTCAGAAAAATCAGGGAAAGGCCCACCGACCACTAGAGGGCGCTGCCGCTCTTCGCGCCAGGGCCAGGAAGCTTCCTCCATGTAGCTACTATTCCTTTGATCTCTGATAATTTGAGTGGCATCCTTACCTCAACCAGTCAGCAACAGAACCAGAGATAGCCTTAGGCCTTCTAACATCCAAACCAGTGCTCACCCAGCAGCGGCATCAATATGGAAAGAAGGGACAGCCGAGCTGCCCCTGACGCCAGAGTCTCTCTGCACCCCCAGTGCTGGGTCCCGGATGGAAGGAAAGTCAGTGGGTTGGAGCGAAGGAATAAGTGGACATTTGTGTTCTCTCTCCTACTAGAAGGGAAAGCCCTGTACCAAGTGGGGTATGAGAGTGACAGGGGCAACAACTCTGAGTTCTACGACATCGTGGTCATTGCCGCACCCCTGCACCTGGACAACAGCAGCAACAACATCACCTTTGAAGGCTTTACTCCACCCATCGATGACATTCAGGGCACTTTCCAGCCCACTGTAGTCTCTCTGGTCCACGGCTACCTCAACTCTTCCTACTTTGGCTTCCCCGACCCTAAGCTTTTCCCCTTCGCCAACATACTCACCACAGATTTCCCCAGCTTCTTCTGCACCCTGGATAACATCTGTCCAGTCAACATCTCAGCCAGCTTCCGGCGGAAGCAGCCCCAGGAAGCAGCAGTGTGGCGAGTGCAGTCCCCGAAGCCCCTCTTCCGGACTGAGCTGAAGACCCTCTTCCGTTCCTACTACTCAGTCCAGACGGCGGAGTGGCAGGCCCACCCCCTCTACGGCTCCCGCCGCAGCCTCCCGAAGTTCGTGCTCCATGACCAGCTCTTCTACCTCAATGCCTTGGAGTGGGCGGCCAGCTCTGTGGAGATGATGGCCGTAGCTGCTAAGAATGTGGCCTTACTGGCTTACAACCGCTGGTACCAGGACCTGGACAAGATTGACCAAAAGGACTTAATCCACAAGGTCAAGACTGAACTGTGAGGGTTCCAGAGAGAGTCCAGGAACTCGGTCCCACACTGAAGATGGAGCCCATCTCAGCAGCACGGGGCTAACTAGGCCACATTCATGGGCTGCTCCGCTCTCTCTGCCACGGTGTATTGAGCAGATGTCCCCTGCGTGGGTCCAGGTGACCTACTGTCTGCCTAAGGATCCTCTTAGAGGCTACCTTTTTTTGTTTTTTAAGGGAGAAATTAAGAAAAGGGAAGGAAATTCAGGTCAGTGTTGGGGAGCGAGGGTTGGTGGTTTTTTTTGTTTGTTTCTTGGGGTTTTTTTTCTTTTTTTGTTACTGTTTTTCAAGAAGAAATAAAAATTCAGACTCCAATCCACTTCTGACTTGGTTTTCTCACTAGAAGCCAAGATGTCTGAGAGAAGGACTATATAGCAGAGAACTCAGCCTTCTTTCCTTTCCGTCTTCCATTACCAACCCCCCAAAGGCACAGCCTACAGTAAAACATTTACCACCCGCCACCTAAAGAGAAGGCAAGATCAGAAAATATCAGCGTTGGGATGGACTGTTTGGTGTGGGTTCCAGGTCAGAATTTCTTTCCAGACCATCGCCGCACCTCCCAGCAGCAGAGCGTATGATTGACACGACATTTACCCTGACATTGCCGTCAGTAGAGCCCTTGGCTACCTGTCAATCAGGTAGAAAAAAATGGAAACAGGTTGAGCCATCGGAAGAAAGGAAGCTCTTGACAGCCCATGGAGGGATTGGCCTTTCTCTTTATGTAAGGATACAGGAGTCGTGTGATGAATCTGTCTTGCCCAGGAGGCGAGTCCTTGGATGGTAGAGAGTGGTCCAAACTCATCCCTGAACTCCCCCCTCCACCCCAACCCCTGAGCAGGGTGGAGGGGGGCGTTGGAGGAGGGATGGAGTTCTTCAAAGGTTAATCTGGTGCTTTCTCTGCTTCTGGCTTCATATAGAGAATTGTGCCTTGCTTTTTCTGTAACTATAAAGATCAGTAGACTGGGGCTGGTGATGTAGTTCAGTAGCAGAGTGCTTGCTCAGCATTCGTGAGGCCTTGGCTTTGACACCGCCAAACCATTACAGAAACAGATCAAATAAACATTCAGGGTCACAGGCGTAGCTTGGTGGAGGGCATATATTTGGAATGCATGAGGCCCCAGGTTCAAGTCTCAGCACCACCACACTCCCAAATCAGCTTTTGAAGTGAAACTTGTCTTTGTTGCTTTGGACCTGGGCCTTTCTGCAGAGGGAACACTCAGGAGTGGAGCCAGTGTGGGGTGGGGGCACGCACACACACACCACACACACACACACACACACACACACACACACACACACACCACTCGGACTTGTTAAACTGTGCTTTAGGGGAGAGGCTTGGAGGTACAGAGGAAACATGGCTGCCAGAGGATCATAGCTCAGAAGCTTGCCCAACAGACAGTCCTGAGATTCATCTGGCTGTTTCCTCCTGCAGGGAAGGCAAGAGCTCACAGAGACAGCATAACTTGTCTGAGGTCTCAGCTCAGTGTTATAGAACAACCCAGTCTGGCGCTTCGCCTTAACTGAGAGCAGCACAAGAGCAGAAACCCCTCCCGTGCAGTTAGCCTCACACCGGAACGAAGGTTCATGCTTTACCAGGTGATGGTGGTGGCAGTGAAGATATGGTGTGCGTGTGGTGGCTATTACAGAAGCCATAAGACTGGCACCCCAGTAAAACAAATTTTGGCTGAAGTAGAAGAAAAACAAATGAAAACTCCCTAAACAGTGAAGGCCTTACTGGGTAAAACGATTTGAGGCCATGTGCAGAGCACAGGGCAATCCCCGGGTCCCTCTCTCACAGCCAAAGACTGTGTAGTGTCAACAGGTCCCCCATAGGCCGTGTGGACTAGCCCTGCACCAATGACTGTGGCCAGAGAAGGGCCGAGTGCTGATTGGTTGGGCTTCAGACACTGGACCAGTAATAGGGCGATAGAGTAAACCAGTTTGCTTAGAATCACAGATTCGAATAATAATCATCTTGGGAGCAGAGGCCTTATCCAAATGTCACGGCTGTGGGGGTACCTATACACCCCCAAATCCTCAAGTTTAGTGACGTCAAATCGTGTGATGGTGTCTTCCAAAGAACTTTGAAATGCAGGTGGTATAGGCTGTTATTGTATGCCTGGTATTGGGCCAGAGGAGCAAAGACAATACAAAACATACTCAGCTGACTCCGCCCCCTTGGGTCCCTCAGGAGAGTATGGCTTAGACCCAGGGCAGGTCCTTCCCTGGGCTGGGACTTCATGCTAAGGCTAAGCTGACTGCGCTTCAGAGCCCTCCTTTGCCTGAATAGGCAGGCCTAAACAGCTCCAAACCAAAACCACTCTCAATGCCCTGAGGCCTGTTTGCCCAAGCCTTCAAGTTCATCTCATGGTCTCATCATTAGCAGGACAGATCCCAAAAAGGGGAAAACAGGCCAACTGAAAGCATCCTGGGGCCCACCTTGCCTTCTCAAGCCAGAACAGACATTCCCTGCCCAGGCCTAGAGAGGCCTGTGAGTCTGACCAGCAACGCAGAAGGGCACCACCCTTACCGTCTGTAGTCCACAGTATAATGAGTACTTAAAAGCCTGCACACAGGGCTAAGAGCATCACTCACTCATAAAAGCCCTGCCTAGCATGCTCAAAGCCCTGAATCATCACATCACTGCCTGTAATCCCAGCATTTGGTAAGTCAGGCAGGAGGATCAGAAGTTCAGGGTCTTCTGTGGCTACATAGTAAGTTTCAGGCCAACCTGGGCTACATGAGTCTGTCTAGGAAAAGAAAAGAAAAGAAACCCACAAAACTCTACACAGATATTCTACTTTGTAGAGCAGATGACCTGAGCTGTCTTTGGGGCTAGGGTGCTAAGGAAGGCCTTGCTCCCACCCACCCATGAAGCAGCGCTAAAGGAAGTAAGGAGGCAGACAGTAGGTCCCCTGGAAGCCTCTGCATTTTCTCTATGTCATGTTCTAGGAAGTGTGTATTCAGCTTTAGACCCAAGTAAGTTTCTAGATTCCTTATAGACTCACTTTTCCCAAGGCCTGAGCTAAGAGACCAAGTTTCAGGCCAGCAAGAGGGTCAGTAGACTAAGACAAGCTGGCAAGCCTGAAGACAGTTCAACCCACAGGGTGGAAGGAAAGAACTGACTCCCAGAAGTTACCCTGTGAGTTTCACAAGCGCATGTGATATGCGTTTGTAGTACAGTCTTTCTTCCTCTCTTGCTCTCTCACTCAAAGAAACAAACAAACAAAAACCCTTTTTTTAAAAAATATTATTTTTATTGTGTATACAATATTCTGTCTGTGTGTATGTCTGCAGGCCAGAAGAGGGCACCAGACCCCATTACAGATGGTTGTGAGCCACCATGTGGTTGCTGGGAATTGAACTCAGGACCTTTGGAAGAGCAGGCAATGCTCTTAACCGCTGAGCCATCTCTCCAGCCCACAAAAACCCTTTTTAAGAGAGGCTTTTACACATTTAAGTGCCAGGATTGTAAAGACTGGGCAAGAGCCTGGAGATAGTGAAATCTCATCCGCTCGCTTCAGATAAGGAACCAGCAGTAGGGAAATTTTTCACCTTGTATAACAAGCGTATACTAAGCATCTCTAAGATTCTAATGCACCCTCTATAAGGATGACCCTTTCTCGCCAAGAAGAGGGCTTCCTCCTGCCTACACTACCCATGCTCCCCCAGGACTCCCGCAGCTCACCTTCTCCCACAATGACTTCCAGTAAAGCCTTGGAAATTGTTGTACCCATCGCATGGGCCTATGACCCAGAGAGCACAGGGCTTGGAGGATAGATAACTCAGTGGTAAAAACAACTCCTTAGCATGGACAAAGCCTGACTTTGATACCCTGCCTTTTGGGGTACACATAGATCCAGAGCACATCTGTGGGAGCCTTAAAGACAAGCAACCCCTACAGACGTGGCTGCTAAAGGGATCGGCATGAGCTGGCACGTGGAGTCGATTTTCCATGTGTCTGGAACCAGGCCAAAACTTCCCAGGGTAATTTTAACCAGTATACACTCTACAACAATACCAAAAAAGGTAAGTTACTTTCCAGCCCAGACAGGCACATACCTAACCATTGGCTTTTCGTGAATTAGACAATTAAAGCATTCCACGCTGAAGCTATTGTACATACACGGGCTCAAGCAGCTGAGTGAGATGTTCCCACAGTGGGCTATTGACCCTTTGTAGGATGTTAGCTCTAACGTGCTAGCTCATCTCACCCACAGAAAATAGCCCAAGCCCCTCACAGCTGTCCTGGGGGAGGCAAGGTATTTTTAGAGCCCGGGACAGCTGATTGGGGATTTGCTGTGGGATTAGAAGGCACAGGGGGGCAAGATTCAATTACAAGGGGAAAGAGCTAGTATCAGGGCAAGACCCGGTATGGGCTTTAGGATAACCCCATGTTGCCGGGGTTGGTCAGTAGAATGTTTTGATGTGACCCGGTGGTTCTCCAAGTGCGGTCACAGATGGCAGCATCGGCACCCCCACAATAGTGGAGATTAAAAGAAGCCACAGCACTCAAGTGGAAAAATAGCCAACCCCACCTAAGTCAGCGCCTCTGAGTACTGAGCCAGAAGTCTGCCTGGACAGACTGACATTTTGAGGGTCGCAGATACTGGTACCCAGTGCTGCAGAAAAGTGGCCGGGTGAAAAATGGCCTATCTAGTTTGCCTTGCATCTCTTGGGTGTTTAAAATCAGACTTCCCCTTCCAGAAAAAAAAAGAAGAAAAGGAGGAGGAGGAGATGATGATGATGATTTTAGGACCTCTTGGGCTACCAGAGACCCTTTAGAGGGAGGTTAGGTCTGCTCTGCAAAGAACCCTGGGGCTAAGGGCAACCCTTCCCATCTGTGGCAAGGGTCATAGCCACAGCATCCAGGAGAGGCTGAGCCCTAGCTTGGCACTGCAGAACCTGGAGCCGCTTCTTAGGACTGTGTGTCTTAGTAACTTGAGTTAGCTGGGTAGTGTATTGGCTTATGACAGCCGTGTTCCAGTTATACAGCTGCGACAGGGAAGAGAGCAGAGGAAGTCTGCCACCATCCCAAGAGATAGAAATGGACGCAGTATTCGTTTCCTGAGTCTCATGTATCCGAGGCTATACTCATACCCAAGGGTGGCCTTGAATTTCCTGACTTACCCACCTCCATACTACTGGTATTACAGATGTGCACCACCCTGTTGGTTTTATGTAGTGCTAGAGATGGAACTCGGGACGTCATTTGTGCTGGGCAGACTCTTTAACTGAAGAGTTAAATACATCCCCAGCCCAGCATTTTCTAATAGCCCGATTCACTCTTGAGGGCTGAGTCCTGGGAAATGCTCACTCAAACTGATCTGCAATTTGTTTCCCATGGATATCCAACCCGGACACAATTTCAACTTCCTAGTCACAAGGAGCAAGCCCAATGCCTTCCATTACAAAGGACAACGTTTACTGTTTATCGGCCTTACAGGAACACAGTGGGTGCGGGGAGGGAGGAGTCGCAGTGGCCACTGGCTTGGTGGCTCAGAAGATGCAGGTGCAACCCACCGCGATGGTCTCCATGACGACGCGGTGACGGCAGGGCCCAGGGCGCGGAGGTGGCGGACAAAGGCGGCGGCGCACTGGCACCTGGCTGAACACTGGCACACTCACCATGCTGCGGTCCTCCTGCATGGTGAAGGGGTTCACGCAGCCCAGACAAAGGCAACGCGCCTCGGGCAAGTCTGCAGGAATGCGGCTGGGGTCGTGGTTGATGCTGAGGGAAGCGAGCGGGTGGGAGAGAGCAGGGTGAGCGCCACCAATAACAACAAAGGGAGCTGCTGAGTCATCCCCAGGGTGTCCTATGGAGTTAGGGTTAGGGCTAGTGACCAGGATGTGTTGTAATCAACTTTGCCTTCCCAAAAAAAGGAGACCCCGATTTGGAAGTCACCGCTAGTCAGGTTCTGTCACCACTGTGTCCCCAGCTTCCTCCTTTTACCCAGTAAGATCCCACGGGGACCATGGAAAAACCTAAGCCTTCCCTCTTATCTACCCTATTTTTATATTGTGGGGAATTAATCTACAGGGAGAAAATGTTCACAAGTGGATGTAGAATCTGCATTGGAAGAGGATCTGGGCCTGTATTCTATTGTTTTACTGAACCTCAGAGACTCAACAAGTTTTAGGGTGTTGTGGTTTGCTTTGGATTGATTCGGTTTTTCCTTTATTCTTTGTTTGGTTTTGTTTCGTGGGTTCTGTTTGCTTTTTGTTTTTGAGACAAGGTCTTGTTTTGTAGCTCAGGGTGACCTCCTGCCTGGAATCCTCTTGCCTCAGCCTTCCCCGTGCTGAAATTACACCATGCTCAGCCCAACAAGTTGTTGATTTTTTTATTCTATCATTTATCTATCTATCTATCTTCCATCTATCTATCATCTGTCTGTCTGTCTATCTGAGACCAGAGGAGTCCTTACAAGGAGCTAGAGGACACCTTGTGGGAGTCGGTTCTCTCCTTCCCAATGTGAATTCTGGAGATTATATTTTTATATACATATGATGTTTTTGTTTTGTTTTGGTTTGGTTTTTGGTTTTTCAAGACAGGGTTTCTCTGTGTAACAGCTCTAACTGTCCTGGAACTTGCTCTTGTAGACCAGGCTGGCCTTGAACTCACAGAGATCTGCCTGTCTCTGCCTTCCAAGTGCCGGGATCAAAGACGTGCAGCACCACCTCCTGGCTCACATACTGCGTTAAAGGCAAATCGGTCTTAGACTTGAGACACTCATAGTGAGATCCTTCTGAGGTTGTCCCAGACCTAGAATATCTTTCTTCTCTGTCTCGATTTCCTCCTCAGTTAAACACGAATGAGAGGTAAGAGAATTTAGACCTAGGACTATCCGGTGTCAGTCACCTCATTTTGCTTGGGAGCTCCTTGGAAATCAACTTGAAGTCTCCTGAATGAGCCTACAGTTTTACAATCTCCCTGACTGGCACCCGGGCACAGTCAAGTAGGAGCAAGATGTGGTCTGAAGGCCCTTTGCTGATTGCACTGTCATAGTCCAAGGCTATGCCGCTCAACGCAGTAGCCACTGGCTACATGCTCTGGCCTAAATCTGAGTCAGTCTATACTAGTCCTTCAGTCTCATTCCAGCGGTTCAGTAGTCACCAGGCCACCGCAGTGGACTTCATCCCAGGAAGTTCTGGCCAACAGTGCTATTCTAGAGTCTTAGGGATATCAGCTGTGTAGCCGGCAAAGCTCTGGGCTGTGTTTGTGAGTGAGCTAGCTAGTTCTTCACTTCATCAAATCCATGTACCTTGGGCCTCTTCTGCACGCTGACCTAGGGGGTGGAGATGGACACACAGACGTTGCCTCTGTAACCCAGGGCCACAAAATGTTCCCCAAGTCAAAGCAGGGGGCCATGTGCCCTAAGCATGGATAGGCAGGTGAAACTCTGTGATCCTAGGGAATCTGACTGGGTGAACACGGGAACCCTGAGGTGGTTCTGAGGCAGATTTTAAGAAGGAACCTGTCTAATGTGAAAAACGTGAACGTAGCCAGCAGACATGGACCACCATGCTGGACAAAGTACTTTAGAAGCCCTACATTTGAGACCCGGAGGATAAAAAGGCAGAACTGTGTATGTCTATCTGTGTATAATAGCCTGTGAAGTACATGCCACCATTACTCCCACTGACAGCTGGGGAAACCGAGGCTCAGCAAAGCTACTCAACTGGCTGAAAGATGCAGAAGAGGGATTAAAATTCACCTGAATCCCAGGTCTTGAACACAGTGCGTGGGACAGCGGAAACGGTGGCCTGCTGGGCCCAGCCCACCTACCTGTATCCCCAAGGAGACAGGCTTCTCTTGTTGGACAGCCACAGCTGCAGGTTGACCTCGCATTTCCTCTTGGCAGTCTCCGAGCTGTTCCTCAGCTGAGCTACCATCTCCCCAAGGTTCCTCTCATATTCTTCCATTCGAGCGTAGGGCTTTCCGCGAGAGACCAGGTCCAGCGGCACCTGGTGAGGCCCAGGGGCCAAGGGGCCAGGCCGCCCTTGCCCCTTCCTTTTGCCTTTGGTGTTTCGGGGCTGGCTTGACCCCAGGAAGATAGAGACGGCAAGAAGGAGCAGCTGAGAAAGAAGGCTATTGGTCAGAGGCCAGAACCAAGTCTCTCTGGGCCAAGGCTTAGAATTAGGGCAAAGAAGAGAGAGGCCTCTGTGTTGGCCACCTTGTGTATGGACACTTGTGCTGGGCACTGATGACACTCCCGCATCTTGAAGTCCTTGAAATCAGGTACCTCTGGAAAATTCCCCTGCCCACTCTAGTTACTCAATCTGCAGACAGCTCCACCGCCTCCTAACTGGCTTTCCTAAGCCTGCCTGGCTCCTAACCAACTCACTGTATCAAGGCCAGTGGCGGTCATTGAAAAGCGTTTCTGACATTGCCACCTTCCCCCTTAATGTCCTTCCTGAGGCCCTCTGGGGGCCAGGATCTCCTGTGTCCCTTCTGGCCTCCTCTGCATTGGTGCTCACCATGTTCCTTGCTGTGGGAGGGACTTTGCACCCTGCCCACCAAGTCCTGCCTTTTCCTTCCACCTTCTGAAAACCTTGCCCAGCTGTGGGCTCTAGGTCACTGCCTCAGCATTGCTTCTGGACACCTTGGAGTCGCCGCACCCCCACATGTCCCTAACACATCCGCAGTTGTACTTGGATATGTGATTCTTTGATATCTCCTTAGCTGCTCCCCCCAGGGACAGACTCCCTTCAAAGCATCTCATCTCATCCCCTGTGCCGGCGTCTACAGAGTGAATGGATTCCACCACCTCGCCTGCCCCCGGACCTCAGGGACCTCCATGCTGTTAACTGTGGGGGGCGGAGCAGAAAGGTAGCGGGAGTGGCAAGGGCAGGCCATGGCTGGGGAGCAGGGCTCTCCCTTGGAGCAGCAGGGTGGCTGGGCCCAGCTTCTCTGGAGACTCATCAATGGACTAAGAAGGAGGATTCGTGAGCAGAAGCAGCCTAATGTCTTCCAGGGACGTGGAAGAGGGAGAGGGGGTGTTGAGCCGCCTATAGGCTTTGCTGAGAGGAAATGAGTTGAAACAGAGTGGGCGAGAAGGAACACTGCAAGGAGCTGGCGGAGCTGGCGCGTGGTTCCTGTAAGACTTCATTTCCAGATCTCTCTCTCTCTCTGTCTCCCTCTGCACCACACACACACACACACACACACACACACACACACACCACCCCTCCACCTCAGCACCAGACAACGTACCTCACCCTATTCCAGCTCACTGTTTCTCATTCCATTTCTGAGTCTTACCAGACTCTGTGCCTTCTCTGCACCTTGGCCCACGGGGGGAGGGGGGGCGAGAGGGGGAGCAGGCCTGGTTTATCATCCAGGCTACCCAGCAAGCCTTAGAAACAAGTCCCAGCCTAGCCCCTCTTGGCAGAGCCACTTGCTGGCCTAAAAGCCACAGCAGTGAATCAGGTTGCTAAATTCTTCCCTTTGGTCCCCATGTTCTGCAGCAGAAATAGTTCCCTCACTGCAGGCCGTCTCGGGTGAGCTGCCCACACGTTCCTCAACTCACCTTGCAGGGGAAACAGATCAAATTCAACATCCCCTCCCTCATTTTCCAGATGGGAAACAAAGACAGAGGATTTGCCCAAGATCATGCACGCTGCCCAGATCCCAGAAGCCTGTCGGACTCTAGCGCCCGAGTCTGCCCAGATCGCCCGGGACACTTCCTCCTGAAAGAGTTCAGTGTGACCAGGCTGTGCCCAGAGCTGTAGCTCAAGCCTTAGGCCATGACTGCAGCCTGAGACCAGGCTCTGTTTCTCTCTGGGCCTGGAGGAGAGGACAGAGCTGGTCCCTGCAGATTCCAAGGCAAACACAGGCAGCCATTAATCAATGGGGGAAAGAACAGCTACAGAGAAGGGAGCACCACGTACCAGGCTGTGTGGCCAGTTCATCCCACCAAGCCCAGGCAGCAGGCCTGCAGCTGCCACCGGCCAGGAACCCCAGATGCCGCAGAGAGAGAATAGCAGCAACAGGATGGACTGAGGCAATTATAGCTCCACGGGGGGCTGCTGGGGGGTGTGGGTGGGTGGGCTCACTGTCAGCTGGGAGCCTTGGGCCCCCAGCTGGCTGGGTCTTAGCAGCACAGTGGCAGGCGGTGAGGGGTGTGGGGGTAGGCCAGGAGCCAGGCCCTGAGGTGCCCAGGGGCTGTTGACCGAAGGACAATGTCCTGTGTGTCTGGTGGGGCCCTGGCTGATGGCACCTCCGCCTGTGGCCTGCGGCCGGCTGACCAGCCAGCACCCACAGCGCCAGTTAAGACAATCAGCTTCGTTTGCTTTGGGGATGGCCAGGGGGAAGGGAGGGAGGAGGATGGGCTGCTGGTTGGTCAGAAGAGAAAATGTACTGAGACTGTCTTCTTGGTCCAGGGCCAGACAGTACTATCTCCCAAGGAAACCGCCTCAGGTTCACCAACCAGCCTCAGGTGAGCTCATTTCTAGTTACAGGCGGGGAAACTGAGGACCGAGCAAGAAGGGAATTGGCCTGGTATTCCACAGTGAATTAGCAGTGTCAGCGCTGGGATTTGGGCCTGGTTCTGATCCAGAACTCAACATGCCTCCCTACACTGTTTGTGTTGGGATATTTTCTGTGCAGTTCTAGCCCTCCGTGAACAGGTCTCCGAGTCTGTGTGCTCTACCCAGGCCAAGGTACAGATACCGAAAAGCTTCATGGGGTAACATTTGCCATCTTGCATGAGAGCTCTCCCCTTTCGGGGCCTATCCCCTGTCTGACCACTGTTTATGACCTTCCTTCTCTCTCAGCCTCGTTCCATTCTCTCTATAATGAGAGTCACATCCCAGGAGTAGCAGCCCCTGCTGATCCCTACTTACTGTCTACATCTGTTTCCATATCTCTCAAGACTGCTACAAAGAATAAAGAAATAGGCCATGTCATAGCTGACAATGCTTGGCACAGAGTGAGCGCTCAATAAACACTTTACTGTTTATTATAAAATGATGCTGTAATGATTATAATTATTACGTTTCTTATTATAAACAGCAGCTGTCTTAGTATTAGGGCTCATGGGTCTTTTACACCTCTCCCTTGTACCCCTCAAACTAACCCTGCTGTCTGAGACACTGCATGCAGCCTTCCTAAAGAGGGTTCCAGCTTCATCAGCTCAGGTGACCCAGGGTCCATGGGGCCCCAAACGCTAAACTGACGGCCAACCCTCTGTGGCTAAGGCCACTCACCTTGAGTGAACGGTCAACTGAAAGTGAGCGAGCAGTAAATACACTCCCTGGGGGGTGCACAGGGGTGGGGGCAGCAGAGGAGGAAGGGGTGGGCCAGCTCCCCTGTCTTGTCTTGCTGAGGGCCAGTCTTGGCCATTTACAAGAACTAGGGAGGGGAGGAGGGCAGGGTGAGAGGCTCCTGAATGTCACAAGATTAATCTGTGCAGGGCAGGTTTCCACAGCATAACTGAGGAGCTGGCTGGGGCGTGAGCTCCTCGAGAGATACCACCATATTTGGTCAAATACTAGACAGGGCTCTGTGCTGTCCTTGGAAACTCCAGAGGGCGGGAGACTCTGAAAAATACCTCCTTGGGCAGCAAGCCCCCACCCCCAGCCCTGGCTGTCCCAGCCCCTCTTATAACAAATGAAAGGACCTGGCTGAGGGGTGAATGGAGGCAGCCTAGCTAGTTCTTTGCTTTCTTCTACAGCTATCGAGGGGCCCACGATAAGGTGAGGAGATTGAAAAATACGTACTAGGATATGGAGGTTCCTCTGCCTTTCAGAACCCCAGAAATATCCATCCTATTACTTGCTAGTACATGGACCCTTCCTTCTGATCCCTAAGGACGAAACGCAGCTGCCCCGGACCCAGCTACATGGTATGCTAATAGAGATTCCCAAATAACAGAGTCTAGTAGTGCACGCTGTGGTGGCATCGCATGTGAAGTGGAAGCAAAAGGACCAGGGGTTCAGGGACCGCTTCAGCCACACATCATATTCAAAGGCCAGTCTGGAATACAAGAGACCTAGTCTCAGAACATACCAAGAAGAGAAGGTGGGTGTCGATCCATTCCCAGGGGTTTAGTCCAGAGATTTGGGCTCAGGAAACCCAGGAGTCTTCATTTTTAATACAAGCCAGTCTGGAAGCTACAGAGATCCTTGCTTCTCATGTAGCCCACGCCCCATCCAGCGCTAAAGTTCAGAAAGGATGGGCCTTCCCAGGTTCGCAGGGGCTTTCCCAGGCTCACACAGTATTTGTGCTGGATCCGGAAGCAGAACTATCCCCCTGGTTCTACCCACTGGTCCTCCCTCAATGCTTTATACTAACAGCCTTGGGCTAGGCTGAGCCTCCTTGTAGTCTGTAGTGGACGGAGAAGCTAGGTCAGTACTTCTGAGAACTCATGATTGCTTACAATGGGCCCCAGGGACAGCAGAGTAACTGTCACCAGTTTCCCCATTCCTGGACTGTCTTGAACCAGAAAGGCACCGCTTCCTACAGCTTTGACCTTGAGAAACCACGGTAGAGTCATTGATTGTCCTGGAGTGATGTCTAGAGTGTAGACCTGTGGAGCCCAGTCTCAGAGTTTGGTGCAAGGCCAGAAAGGAAAGTGAAGAAACCAGGAATTGAGGTCTCCATCTGCCTCGTGTATGAGGATGGAGTCCTTGGGTCTTCATGAATAAGGGTTGGAAGCACCTGTGAAGATGCACGGATGGGCAGCCAGCGGTAGCAGGGATGCGGAGATCCCAGGCACCTCTACTACAGACCTGCCGGGAGCCTCACTGCACTCACCACTAGATGGCGCCAACAGAAAGCCAAACAGCCTTGAAGAGCAGCCCGCAGCCCGGTTCCTTCCTCTTGGAGTAGCCGCTGAAGCTGCTAAACCGGAGCTCGGGCGTGTGTGCAAGGCCTGTGCCTGCCCTGGCTTCCCAGCAACAGTGCTGTTGAGGAGCAGTGTTAAAGGTGTCTTCCACATCAGAGCAGGCATGGCCAGTGGAGGGCAATGACTGAGTGTCTTTCCTTTTTCTCCTTTGGGGGTGGGGGATGGGATTAAAGACAGGGTTTCTCTGTGTAACCATGGCTGTCCTGGAACTTCTCTGTAGACCAGGCTGGCCTCAAACTCACAGAGATCAACCTGCCTCTGTCCCCGAGTGCTGGGATTAAAGACGTGTGCCGCCACCTCCCATCTGTGACTGAAAGCTTCTATCTGCTGACCCCAAAGTACCTGCTTCCTTTCTTTGGGCATCTACTATGTACTAGGCCTTTAGTATCTGAAACACGGTATCATAGTCTCAACAAATAGTAACTGCAAGCCTGGGGCAATAGTTCAATTGATAAAAATGCTTGCCACATAAGCATCAGGGCTTTGGTTCAATCCCCAGAAACTAAGTGGAGAAGCCAGGAGTGTTGAAGTTCACTGTGTACTCTAATCCAGTGTTGGGGAGGCAGAACCCAGCAGATCCCTACAGCTTGCTGGCCAGCCAGCCTAGCCTACTGGGAAAACCCTTAGCCAATGAGAGAGCCTAGCTCAAAGACACAAGATGAATGGCCTCTGAGGGATGGCATCTGAGTTTGTCGTCTGGCCTCCTCCACATGGACCCGCACACATGTGCACATACATGCATATATGAGTTAAGAGGAGGGCATCCATCAGTAACTGGGTGTTGGGCAGGCGCTAACTCCTCCAACTATGTTGGTTCATGGGAGAATCCCAACACACCTGTAGTGCAGTCACACTTTACTCTCTATCGAGACTTGGGGAATCTGAGGCTTAGGACGTCTACTTAACCATTTGCCCAAAGTCACAGAAAACACAAAATAAGTTTGTTTTACCCCTACATCTCCTGCTGCAGTGCAGGTAGAAGACCCTGCCCCTGAAGGGGAGGACTGCCTATCAAAGGGGATCTGTAACACCTCAGCCTCACCCAGCATTCTCGAACAACCCAGATGGGGCAAGGTGAGGAGCTCAGGAAAGGAACTACATACAGTTCTTGGGAGATGGAAAGCTCCCCAGCCCAGGGGCGGTTTAATTATAACATTTCTGGCACATAGAAAGCACCCGCTAAAAATGTGATACATTCAATCAAACCAGTTGTAACGCAGGATGGCGACGCTGGAACTCAGGATGAAAGGTGGGCGCTATGGGACCTAGAGGAGCAGGGATGTCCTCCAGGGTAGTGAAGACTCCCACAGGTTGATGGGTTTTAGTCTTGATCCTCTCTTCCTCATCATAGCTGTGTGACTTTGGGGAAAGAGTTGGTTTATCTGATCCTTTGTTTCTTCTGTACAATAGAGATAATGATTTGGGGCTGGGCTCAGGTTGTTGGAATGCTTGCCCAGTTGGCACGAAGTCCTGGGTCCAATCTCTGACACGGCACAAACCAGGTGTGTTGGCTCGTGCCTGTAATCCCAGCATTCAGAAGGCAGAGGCAGGAGGATTAGAACTTTAAGGCCATTCTCAACTGCATCATAAATTTGAGGCCAGCCTAAGCTACCAGAGACCTTGTCTCAAAATAGTGAGTTTTCAATGGGTTACTGTAAGGATCAAAGAATGTATCCTACGGTGCTTTGTGCCATGCCTGACAAACGCGAGCGTCCAGCTAGTGAAAGCAGATATTGGGATTGCACTTATTAAGATAAGCTTTAACTTGGGCTTCCAAGGGTGCCTTTGGAGTATTCCTAAGTAGAAATCCGGCATTATTGGGTGGGGATGAGGCGAGAGCCAGTGGAACAATACAGAGGTTTCTCTCTTCAATGTGCACACTCCAGAACTTCAACCAGGCCAGGAGGCCCCAGCCCCCGATCAAGGGGGTCTAGTTAGGCAGGAGGGGGCTTATGGGCTCTTTTACTGGCAAGAGCCCCCAAAGCGCATCCTTCCAGGAGGTCCTGCCTCCTCTGCCATGCTGTTGTCCCCTCCCTCCTGGGTAGGAATCCTTCTCCCAAGCCCTTATTTGCACAAATGCCTGCCTCGCTGCTCACTCCAGAGTCCCAGCCAAGAGGGTCTATTTTAAGCTCCAGAGACAGGAACATTGTTGGTGGGAATAGCCCTAACCAGCCGGCTCCCAGTTTTCAAAAAAGGGAAAGGCTGGGTGAATGAGACGTGTAGAGGGGCAGCCACATCAGCAGGACCCTGGGCCCAGGCCAGTCACTAGCATCTGCACCCCAACGGGTGGATGTCAAGCAAGCGTGAGCTGGAGTCGGTTCTCAGATGACCGACTCCGAGATGCCCGTCGGCCAGTGTCCAGCACTGACAATACCAAGGCCTTGCTTCTAGGCTGCAGATTGACTGTGTGTTCTGCTTTGTGTCCCAGCGCTCGCCATCCAAAGACATCGCCACAGGCGGGGACACCTTGCCAGCTCTTCCTGTGTAGGGTCTTCGCTGGTGACCTCCCTGCCTTCCAGAGACATTCTTCTCTCAGGATACACATTCCATCTTTGACGTAACAGACACTTCGTGTTTGGCCTCATTGGGCTGTTCTCGTAAATAAGTTCCTTGTGCATTTTCATGATCTATTCTCACTCTTTGATTTTCACGAAGACTATTATTTAAATCCTAGACTTTGAACCAAAGTAAAGGACCCCAGCCCAAGGCTGGGAGGGAACAATGAAAATGAGGTCATCTGTGTGATATGCCCACCAGTGTGCCATGAACGGCCTAGCTACTGTTTGCTTGCACATATTTTGTTCTTAGCTCTGTCTGATCACGTAGCACAGCATAATTCTAGTCAGTTCAGTTCTAAAACCTTGTAGTTCCCAGAGAGACCTCAAAATAGAAGTAACAACCCTAAGGAAGAATGGGCCCCCATGTGCTTCAGCCGAGAGGCAAGAAGCCTGGCTGGGGACACTGTGTAAGACAGGTAAGGGATCAGCCTCCCCAGATTTTATAAGCTCCCAGCATGGAAAAGTCCTGATCGTCTGTACAGGCCCTGGGACCTAATAAACATGGCCCAGCTGCCTGCACTCACTCAGGCCTGGGCAGGAAGGAGCAGGATATAAACAGCCTGCGTGCATAGTCCCGGCACTGGGCCGCCTGCTCACCCGCACATCCGCACCTCAGACCCAGGGGATGTTTATAATCTGCTAGAGCCTCCAGGACTCTGACGCCCAAAGTCACCACTCGACCTCCCCCATTCCTGGGTGGGTCTGTGTCTCTTTGGAGTCGGAGATCCCACTACCCAGCAAAGAAAGGAAAAAAAAAAAAAAGGAACGAGAACAGCCTCACAGTTCAAGCCCAGGGAAAGGGAACTAGCCAGGCTGTAGGCACAGGGGAAGAGATGGGCCAGTCAGCATCTTGCTGGCTTACAACAAGGAGTCTTGGAGTGACGTGGGCTAGAGTGAAGGGCTGTGCCTTCAGCAGTTCAGATTTAATAGTAGGCCCTAGCTGCGGAGATTGGTACTAAGCTGTTTTATTAGAGGTGGCTCTGTGGTGGGGATCTGGGGGCGTATGGCCCTGAGGGTAGTGTCTCAGTGTCTTTCTGCGGTTCCCAGTGCCATCAGGGAGCTCTGCTTCCAGGCAGTGGGTGTATTTTATTCGCCTGCGCTGGAGAGCCTGGGGCCAGGATGACCATGCAGATTTGCTCACATTCTCCCCAAGGGCAGCTCACAACCCACCGCAGGGAGAAGAGACAACTCCGAACACAATCTTTTACCTGCCCCTGGGCAAGGAGCCTTGATAGCCATTGCCAAGGCTCCTGCCCCATCCTCCTGACCTCCAGAGAGTTCATAGGTGTTTAGTGTTATGACTCGCAACCCAGTCTCCCTGGCTGTGTGGTCTGTATAGTCTGGAGGAAACAGTGATGGTTAAATGTAATCTCCAGCTAGTGAGCAATGCCCTTTGAGGCTTCAGCCTGCGGGCAGTGAAGAGCTTTGGAGCGTCCCCAAGGGGTGGTCTACCCACTTCACTTAGCAAGTGCACATTAAGCAACTGCAGTGTGCCCAACGTGTCCTAGGCACTGGGGGTCAGCACGGAATACTTCCACTACTAGCTTCTAGACGTGTGCTTCGGCGGACAGTGGCAGATGTGACAATACCCCTTTCTTCAGGGGCAGCAACACAGCTTGGAAGAGCTCTGGCTGAACACTTCTGCTCGGCCTTCTGCATCTCCCACATTCCTTGGCAACTGGTGGTTCCTCTTCTGAGAAGCCTGGGACCGTGGACTCAGCTCATACGGAGAAAAGCACTGTCCCACGCATGTGAAGTCTCACCCGGTTTCCATGGGAGGTCAGTTCTCTGGACGGCAGCAGGAAAGAAAAGCCAGCCTGTGTGATGCCGGCCATTTCTGGAGCCTGCCTTCCAGGAACGAAGTCCGCCATCGCCCTGTTGTTGGAAGGAGCTTCCCAGCCCCTGGCTCTGGAACACACAAGATGTCCCCTGCCCAGGTTGTAGACAGAGTCAGGTGACCACTGCCTAGGGGGGTGGCAACGATACTCCTCGCGGGCATGCGGCCCCCTCCACTTTAAAAGCTGTCATTCCCGTGACTTCATTTCCTCAGTACAGGAAGGAAAGCGCTATAAATATTTAACAGAAGAAGAGAGAGTCCCAGGTAAGAGACGCGACCTGCCCATGGCCATACAGTGAGGAAAAGAGAGACAGAGGTTGGCATGAAAGCTGGGCCTACAGCTTCCCTAATCTTTGCCCTGCTTTAGAGAGAGGTAAGGGGCACCAGGGTGTCTAAGGTCAGAGGCGTGTGACCGATCATCAGATGGCCTCCCCTGAGGGCCAAAGGCCAGACGAACGATTTCAAACTCTGTTCACAGCTGCCTGTTCACATCACCACGGCAGAGGATTTATCTGTCAGAGGGTTTCATGCCAGAGAGCCAGGACACTGAGTCAGAGGTCAGGCTGACCGGCTGGCTCTGTCTTCCCAATGCACTCTCCTGGTGACCACGTGGCTTGCCTGTTATACATGGCTATGTTCGGAGGGCTTTCTCTTCCATTCTAGCATTCCCTTGCTTTCGCCCTGTTATCTTGGCCCCCAAGCTAGGTCTGGCTGGGCATTCTGGAATCAGTGTCTTCCTAAGGACATTGCAGACCCCCTCTTCAGTTTTCAAGTTCTATGGGACCAACAAAGGACATTTTTCTGGCACTCCTATCAAAGGTCTTTTGGCCTTCTGTGTCTGAACCTTCTTTCTGCTGCCCATACATTGACTGAGAACGCACAGAGCAAAGCTGATACCCCTGTCCGTGCTAAGCAGTCACAGTCAGGATAAGTGGGCTGTGCTACAGCAACTAGCAGCCCCCAAATCTGAAAGGGTTGGTGCAGCCAAGGCACCCTCAGCACCTTATGCTCCGTGACCTGTACAGGTCACAGAGCCGCTTCCATCAGAGATGCAGAGATGAAAACGTCCCCTCACGCTTGTGACCATAAACATCGCGGCAGACTTCGAGATTTGTAGATGGCTCATCTACAGAGACCAAGGGTATTTTGGAATAGCTATCCCAACCGCACACTTCATTGGGGTAAAAGTCATCTATCCCTCCTTCTCTTTTTCAGTGCAGTGAAGGGAATCATACCCAGGGTCTAGCAAGTGAGAGGCAAATGCTCTACCACTGAGGTTCACCCCCAGCCTCTCCATCTCTGTTAGTTTTTCATCTCTAAAATGAGGGTGATCAGAAAGTACCCATTCCGCTCCTTTGCTGGGAGTTGAGCTAGTAGGGTGGAGGTTAAGTTATCAGTATAAGAGCCTCGTTCCGCCGGGCGATGGTGGCACACGTCTTTAATCCCAGCACTCGGGAGGCAGAGGCAGACTGATCTCTGTGAGTTCGAGGCCAGCCTGGTCTACAAGAGCTAGTTCCAGGACAGGCTCCAAAGCTACAGAGAAACCCTGTCTCAAAACAACAACAACAAAACAAACAAACAAACAAAAAAAAGAGCCTGGTTCCTAGAGCTTTCTGTCAGCTCTCCTGACTGGTGCTGCGCTAGTTTAACGGTGTGACCCTTTCTCCACAGGGCGACCCTGGCTCTCCCCATTCCCCGCGTTGTCCCACTTCACCCCTGTCCTGTTGTTTCCGCTTAGTGCCTGTCCTGTTTTTGTTCCTTTGTTTTGTTTCTCATTGCCTCTCACTGGAGGGAGATTGGGGACTGGATAGCGAGGCAGAGAACGGTGTGCCCGCGTGTCTTTCCAACCCCTGCCAGCGGCATGTAGCTCCAGTTCACAACCAAGTTCTTTGGTGTCGAGAGAAGGAAAATGGAATTTGGGGAAGAATTCTTGCTTGAGATGAAGCCGTGGTAAGCACAGAAAACAACTGTCCTTTGTTGGAGCTGGAAAAGGCTTTGAAAGCAACACCCATTGGCTCTTTCTTTTTTCTTTTTTTTTTTTTAAAGGATGGACAAACAGAAGTCCGAAGAGGACCAAAGTCTGATCAGTGTCACACAGGATTTAGGAGTCACCCGTTAGGACCAGAGCCCATTTCCTTTACTCCAAGCTTGGGACTTTTCATGTACCACCTAAGGGGGCAATATGCTCCACTAGCCAGATAGAGTGGGAAGGGACCGCCTTGGAATCATGGCAAGTCCACTGTTCACAGGGCTCTCCTCCAGCGGAGTTATAAAGCCGAGAGCTTTATAAACATTACCTTATTAAGGCTTCTTGGAAGCCCAAGGTCATAGCTCCTCTGGGTCATGGGACACCAGCTGCAGGTCCAGTGAACAGAGAACCACGTAACATTTTTCACTTGGTTTAGCAAACCTGGTTTCTAATTATAGGATTTGTTTTACAGTCCCGAGTGGTTTATGAAGGAAGATTTGGAGTCAGTAGCAGTCCTAAAGGCAGGCTGAGAGTGTCAGATGGAAAGACTGGGCAGGGTGGGGATGTCTGGAGGGAGGAGAGGCCCTGAAGCATGGCAGAGGGTAGGGCAAACACAGCCTTTGGGCAAGCCAGGCAGGGAGGGATGTTAATTTTCTGTCTCACCGGTCAGGTTGCTCTCAGTTGGAAACCCTTCCCCCAAACCCCATAGAGCATAACCCTCTGGCACCTGGAGAGAAATGTGGCGCTGACCTACAGCAAACAGGTAGAATGATCACCTTGTTAGTCCTGCCGCGGTACCACGTCCATCCATCACCATGGTCACGCTTCTTATCCGCAGAGACAGGGAGCGGATACCGATTGGGGGTTCGGGGGAGTTATTATGAAGGTGAATAGCATCCCGCTCCTCTGCAGCCAGAACTTGCCAGAGCTACCAGCCCCTCCATGCCGAGATTCGGAGGGCCCAGCAGATTAGTGATTTTTTTTTAAAAAGCCTTTCTTGCCCTGTTCTGAGTCCTTGTAAACTGTTTCCAAGAAGTTTCCTAGACTTCCCAGTAGGAACTGAGCTCAGTTGCTGTGCATCACTGTGCCAGGGGAAGCCTGATTAGTAACCGGTGTGTGCTGGCCTGGCTCCCACCAAGACACAGCCAGAATCCCTAAAACCAAGCGCTTCGTCTTTATCTTTGAAACACCTAACCTGTCCATCATGATACTAACCCGAGTTAGTATCTCAGTCCCAATAAAGGCAAGGACAAATGCATGAGTGCATTAACTGCACCCCATTCTGGAATCTTCCTGCCTCCTAATGTCACACAGCTCTCATGTCACACGGCGCTGGCTTCTCTGCAGTGGGGTTGCTCCTGTCTGCATCTGCCAGTGGCATTGCTCTCCTCCACCCCTTCCCTCTTTCTTTACCCATAATTCACTCTCAGAAAACAAGACAGACGTCCCTGGGTCCAGACACACCTAAAGGTGAATCTACCCAAAGACTTCAGTCACAAGGGCCAATGGTGTCCCTCTTGTTTAGAAACCCGGAAGAAAGGAGTTTTCTTTCTTCTCCAAAAAGGAATCTTGGTAAATACCATGTAACAGAAACGGGCGACTTCCCTGTCTTGCCATTATGGTATCCAGAGCAGTGCTGTGCACAAGAGATACTCAGGCATTTTTTATGAGCAAAGAAAGCAGCCGCCCTACCTGCAGCCCTCAGCAAGCAAGCTCGATGCAGGAGAGCAGACCCGGGACAGAAAAGTCCCTCTACACCCTCCTTCGGTGCCCTGCTCACACTCTGCCAGCTGAGCAGAAACTATGGGCCTTTGTCACAGACTGGGTGTCATGGATTCCAGTCACCCAGAGCACGGCGACCGCCAAACAGACGGAAAGCGAGGCTCCCTGGTTCAGATCCCTCCTCGGCCATTTATAAAGCAATGAAGGAGAGCGTGGGGCTGCGTTTGCACTCAGCTCCCAAGACACAAGGAAGGTGCTGGTGGCAGGAAGCATCATGGCTGAGAGATGACAACTGCTTTGGAAGTCATCCTAAGATAAACGGAACAATAAAGTGGGGCTGGAGAGACGGCTCGGCTCCCGCTCCCGCTCCTTGCTACTCTAGAACGATGGGATGGATGGATGGCATGGTAGGTAGATGGTCTCTGATTCAGGCTGAAGAGTCTTTGTAGTATCCTTTCTAACCTGCTCAAACAAGAATCTCCGCTGAAAACTACCTCGCCCAGATTCCTGAGCTCACTGCGCTGAAGCTGTTTGAAGCATCGACACATACATGGTCATGTATGTAGCAATGTCTCCTCACTCATGTCCGGGGTTGAATTGTATGCCTTTCTCAAATAAATATATTGAAATCTTAATCCTCCCCGCCACAGAATTTGGCCTTGTGATAGGTCCAGACTCCTTCTACCTGGGAAGTCCTCACCATGAGAGAATATGCTTTGAACTATGAGCGAAAACAACGTCTTTCTCCCGGGAGCTGATTTTGGCAGAGTTTTTCATCGCAGCAACCGGAAAGAGAACCAGGACAGGGGCTTTATGTGGAAACGGGGCTTTTCAGGTGTGACTAGGATGGACTCACATAAGCATCCAGTGAGACAGCCGTCTCTTGAGACACGGAAATGAGGCCCTGTGAACGTGGAGGAGAAATGGGAGGGGTGTGTCTCCACGTCGAAGAACTCCAAAGATTGCCTACTTCTTGGAAACTAAGCAGGAATGCAGCCCACCTTCCTTCTCATAGCCTAGAAGGAAGCCACCTTATCCACCCCTCTGATTTTGGACATCTTATATACATGTGCACACACAGGCATAGACCACCACCCCACACACTTGGAAGCCGAAGGCCAGGAGAGCTGATGACATCATAGTCAAAGGCTAGAGACCCAATGAGCTGCTGAATTTCATCCCGCAAGGCCTCAGGACAGCACTGGGAGCTCCAGGGTCGGAAGGCAGGAGAAGGATCTCGGCTGAGGAAAGGGGTGGGGTGGACTCACCCTTTCTCCTTTCCATTTCATTTACATCTCATTGGATTAGAGGATGCCCAGCCACTCTGGCAAAATTAGGCTTCC